GAACCTACCGGTTCGTAACCCTCATTGCTTAGAACCTGTTTATTTTTGAATCCGCTTTTGGAGGAGTCAATGGGTTATTAACATGAACCAGGGTAATAACCCATATTTTTACGGTACAAACGTTTATGATTGGTGCCTTGCTGAATCGTTCACTTCTGTCATCAGTAATGTTGAACCTCCGAGCTTCTTTGGCTTCAGAAAGAAAGGAACAAAAGCGGAGGAAAATGAGTTTGTCAAAGGTTGTTCCGCCAGAGTGCAAATGAGGTTCAGACGAGCTGTGCTTGCGAAGGACGTTTTCTAACTGCATATTCATCATTGTTTAAGGTAAGGCATGTCATGGTGAAGTTATAGACTCAATCTGCGGTGAGTTCGATTCGTATTGCACATCATCTTTTGCAACGTTGTTTGACAGGCTCTGGCCCTACGTAGCACTACGTTTTGATGGAACAGCGGTTAATTTCTCACACGACTGCTTGCGCATTTCACTGCTCATTGTAAACCTCAAACCGGAATAAAGTGATGTGCAGAAAATAGTGCGCTGTGACAAAGGGCGCCGCTGAAAATGAATTGTGATGCGTGTATGACTTCATTAAGCCCTACAGCTAAAAGGAAACGATTGCAGGTTGTGAGAGAAACCATTATGAGGTATATATCTCTTAGGATTTTCTTTTGTACTGAATTCCAAGAGCCAACGGTTTAGAATGGAATAAAGTTGAAAACGATCATTTGTCGAGTACTTCATTCCAAAAGGAATGATGTGCAGGCGCATCTTAAAATTTATTTTTGAAGCTGACCATTCGGAAATATGACGACAAAATTCTGCAATATTACTTAAGTGAATTTCATGAGTTTTTCGACCGAGCATGGTTTCAGCCTTGTGAGCATGTTGTTGACAGGCACGCCAGATTTTTGTACACTGGTATGTACTTCCTGTCGTTTCTGCAGGAAACACCTACTTCCGATCTTATGCTCGATCGAGGCACTTCCTCCTGTATTCTGCACCATGCCAATCAGTCATTCGGATCTTATATGTATTTGCCGCCCATTTAAACTGTTCTTCGTAAATGTCTTGAGTCATCTTTCCTGCGTGAACCTGGGGCATTCCGTCTTGGCATTGGAGATAAACAGCTACCACAAAGCATTGAACGTTTGAGATCAACCGATTAACCGGTTGTACAATGCGTTGCCAAGCTTCAGTCGATGCTGTACGACCATTGTTACATTTGCCAATTGAAGGCAAATTAAAACGTGCCCAAATTTCTCCATCAGCGAGGTCGCTAACAAAAACCAAAATGTCGCAGAAGAATAGCTGCCAGCTACGTTGGAACGACTGTTGACATCAGAAATTCGGTCACGACGCCCATGCATTACGAGGAAGCGCTGAAGAACTCCTCATTCCCTGTGTTATTTGCTGCAATCGTCGAATAAAAACTGCACCTGCAACCTGCGTTCGATTTTACATGGTTTCAATTGGTTCGAATGCGTCGATGTCACGTGTCAGTAGATTAATGTGCAGCAAAATCATAAACGAGACGATGACCAACATTTTCTCAAATGTGGACGTCTCGAAATGAATCTAAACGAGCCGTGTGCTATCTGCCATCGGATCGGGCTGCAGTTGAAAAATGTAGTGGGCTTTGGCCTGAACGACAGCCAAACGATCCTTCTTGGATCTCAGAGTCGGCTATTC